CACAGTAAAGCCATAAAGCCTCATAAGTCAAATTGAGGCAACCTCTGGAGGACTTTATAAATAAGAGCCAGGCAGTGAATAGATCCCTGCATAAAGAGATCCATCCGAACACAGCATACAAATTCCTATTATGTGTATAAATGTGCTACCAGTGTCAAATACCAGGGCACTGTGTGAAAAAGATGTGTCTGAAGATCTCAGACGAGTAAAGGTAAAACATGACTTTTATCTGAAATAAATGTTTCACCTGCAGTTGAGAATAGACAATTGGCAATCAAATGCAGAGGTTTCAACCAAGGAAGAACCCTAAACTGGTTTTCTTGGAGGAGGTAAGAGGTCCGTGTTATGCAGAAGCCTGTTCCTGTTTTCCGAGATCAGCATTTTCTTTCTTTTGTCCTGATTCAAGGACAGCTTAAAAGCTAAGAGTGAACCCGAAACATGTATAACTGTAGCCTTATAGACTTTTAATAAGAAAGGCTGAGCATTGCATGATGGTGTCATTAGTATCCCATTCAATGTTTTTTATAATTCAATTTTTAAAGAGGACCAGGTACAGATCCCTGTGGTACACCTCCAGCCCCGTAGGGCAATACAAAGTAAGTAAGGTTAAACATATTGTAATATTCACTTTTATATTAGGGTAAAGCTGCTCTAATTGCTGAACCTTAGCCATCAATATTTGCCATAAACCCAATCTTGACCATACCATGTTTTCTTTGCATTCATATTTGAGAAAGCTAACATTTGTAAAACATTGCTATTTGACGAGAAATTAAAAATCCACTAAAGTAATTCTCCAATATTCATGGTTGTGTCTGGCCATGATAGGGTAGAGATCACAGATGACCTCAGTTCAGTTTATAAAAAACAGCTCTATCAGCAACACATTGGCCAACCAATCTTACTCAAAACTAAAAATCATAAACTTTAAAGCCATCCTAGTTTTGAATAAACAACAGTGTCATGACCCTTCATGTGTGTCTTCTCTGTATTAGTGTTATAAAACCACATGTACCTCCAACCTGTGTCGTATTCCCCCTCCTTTGTTGGAACCATAAGCCAGTTCTTGACAACAATTTGAAATGCTTTAAATAAATCAATAACCACTGCCACACAATATGGTTTCCTAACCTTCAAATAATCATACCCTTCTCCACTTCAAACCTGCTGTAATCATTGTTCCATGAAATGCTAACATTCTAAAACCAATAATCAACCAATAATATTATTTTGAATTATTTAGAATGTATTTATTTTTTAAGATCCAAAAGAAAACGTAGAAAAATCTACAGTCTTGAATTGTGATTAAAGGGAAGTTGGCTGAGGCTAAAGATAGCCTACATGGTATGAAGTCATTGGAGTGTTCAAGTTGCACAGGATTTGTATTTGAATTGTTATAGATAATGTTGTCATCTAACCAGCGCTAAACTCAAGTTATGCTTGGCCGCATCCTCGACTTGTGTCTCCAAACAAAATGCCCTGTGTAGCACCTCGCCCAGCTTTATACCTTAGCACAGGAATGATGAAGTGATCACACAGTTCCTTCCTCTGCGCCGTCTGCTGTCATTTCACTCATGAATGAGCAGAGGAATAAATGGAGGCAAAATAAATACTTTTTTTTTGCTGTTTGGAATAAATGTTTTCTCACTTTTCACTGCCAAGTCTCACCCTGGCAACAAACAATCCAACCACACTGCAAGACAGTCCTTGACATCATGATGTTTAAGATGCATTATCAACAACTGTGTTTGGTGACTAAAAAACAAGAAGGCTTCTTTCTAGGCTTTCACTTCCTGCTGCTTCTGGATTACCTAAGGCAAGAGTTATACAGCGGTTACGGACTTGACTCAATACAACGTCGGAGTTGACATGTTATGTTATCAAAGTGTTCTCTTAATGTTCATATGCAGAGATTTGTAATGTTGATCTCGGGTATGGCGAGTTCTCTCCGAGTTTCCAAGTAGGAAGTCCGACCTCAGGGGGCATTCCAGTTGACATTTCCGACTGGGAACTCGGATACTCCCACTTCCCAGTACAACTGGAATGCACCATAAGTCACTAATTAGGTGTGTTTACGAATCTGGTCAACTTCCAAATAAAGAGCGTCTCCCCACAGTTATGTTGAGAAGCCATTCGGATCTTTCAGGATATTGACATTTTTCACATTAGAAACCCTATGTCTGAATGTGACTGATGGTGTTTACTCCAAATCATGGTGTGTGTCATACACACAGCCCTGTGTGTAGCTGAGAGGCAGCAGAATAGCAATGTCTGTCAATGTCATACAGCCCTGTGTCTACAGTCCCTCTCTATATCGCCTTTAATATCCATCTTCCATCATCCCGCGGACCGTCTCCCTCATCACCCGTCTATTCATCTCTCCTTTTCAATGACTCCCTCTGTGTCCCTCCTCACTGTCTCCTCTTCCTCCCTTCTGATGTCACACATTTAGATATGAGGTTCTGTGATAGCACACAGCAGCCTTGTTTGGATGGGGAGTGATCAGAAGGATAAGAGGATGTGGGAAAGGCGAGCTCGTTTGGCGGCGCGGGTATTCTCCCAAGCAGCGGGAGGATGTAAGACGCAGAAACAAAGGAGGACATCTAGGTTAAAAAAAACATGCATGAATGGATCTGAAAGGCCTGTGTTGCCGGCTTGTCTCATCCCTGTGACTCGGAGCCGGCCGGCCTGTCAGGGCTCTACTTTTCACTCTATTACGTTATCTGCTCTCTTTCTTGGCGGATAAACAGTTGACGGCTAATATTCATACCTAGGGGTAAAGGGGGGGCAGGGGGGAACCTGGCACTGTCCCAGAAATGCATGTGCTGTCATACGAGTAGACATGTTCTGTCCACTCTTCATAGTCTTGTGAAACGTCTTGACATGGATTTCATTGGCACTGCGACAAAATGCGCTTTTCTTGCAACAAAACAGCATGGAAAATACAAAGACAATCTGAGGTGGATTCAGGGGGACCATCTATTTCTTTGTGGTTTATGTAATGCACAAGAGTTGATGTGGGACTAACATTTTCAGGGTCTTGATTTGGAAATGTTAATATTAATGAGGGGTCAAAAATACATTTAAACCACTCAAGCATCATGCTTAGGGGAATGAAAACTCTTTTTTTTGGAGAGGAAAGGGTTGCTTTAACGATAAATAACAAAACCATCATTTGAATGTACATATATAAGGTATCCCTGCCTCAACAATATATGTCTGTTGGACTGAATGCGCTGCTAATATTTAAGCGTACACGCATTGGAAGTGTAACGACAATAATGCTGCACATTCGATTCAAAAGCTGCATTTGCTGGTCTGCTCTTTTATCAGACTTTCAAAGACCACGTCGTCACTTGTTGAAATACACACCTTTTCACCAGAATAAACAGTATGACTGCGTTTCCCAGCTCTGTCCCCATGTAAGAAAGCCAACATTATGTTGCTATAAATCAACAGTGATGAGGGCAGCTCGAGAGCTACAATTTCACCTGTCTTATCAAAAGGGACAGGCTGATGTGTTGCTATAGCGCCCCCGATAGTATGATCAGGTAACTTCAAAATGTCTGAGGTTAAAGGATATTTTTGTCAACAAATAATCACAAAGTACAAAAATATCTCTCAGCTTAACCAGAAATCCAACGAAAAATACGTTTATGAAAGTTTCTTAAAAAATCAACCTACCCTACCCTACTCATTTGGACATTTTTGTGAATGCATATCATGCAGCATGAAGTGGACATCATGAGTCCTGCAGCAGCATGCTGAGGGAGGGTCCTTGCAGCAGAAGGTGAATGACAACCCTCTCTGTGGCGAATACCACTGCTGGCCATCAGAGAGGGAAGCCACACTGACTGAAAGTGCGCCACAGCACTCGGCTCAGAGCACTCATCTGCCTACTCCACTGCAAAGAGATCAGCTCCGAGCCACTGCCTCCTCCCAGCAGCATGGCACCATCTCCCCCACCTCATCGATGTGGATTATACATTTTATTTATATTAAGACCATGCTTGAGAATAGTTTTTCATGCATTTCATCATGTAGAAACAAATCCATGGAACATATATTTAAATATGGCTCATCATTATATCCGGCTTTAAAGTGTGTATAAAGTGACAATTAAAGGCAATGTGGTCGAAAGACCTATTACGATTACAACGTATAATAAAGGATGCCATGGATTTTTTTTTTGTACTCTGAGCGATGAGCTGCTAGTGTGAAGAGACAGTTTTTTGGAAAAAGACTCAAAAGTCTAAGAAAAAATATGAAGGTCTTCAGTTTAGGTATATAAAAAACTCGAACAAGTACTCCACCTTGTATGAATACGCAACGCTTTTTCTTGAATGGAGAACCCAGACGTCAAACTCAATTAAAATAAAAAATATTGCATTAAAAACAGCAGCCTTGCTCACTGGCTAACCTACACACTGCTTTGAAAAGCATTCTGAGAGGTTCATACATCTCTGGCTCGAAGGGATTTATTTCAAACAGTACAGATGTAAATGAAATAAATTCTGCTGAATGTGTATTGGATGTGCCGGTGTAAAGACTTATTCATTCTGAACATATCTTAAGTAAGGTTCAAGGTGGTTTTAATGTTTCCAAGTAAGAATAGACTATTTCATATAAATGTTTTTTTAACGAAGTTTGGCAGGACTGCATCCCAGAGAAATGTCTCTCTCACGGCTTCGCCCAGGCGGCGGAGCGCGGCTGGGTATGTGGCACCTGAACATGCTGTGGTATTCCCTAACCTGAATACAAGCACCACAGTAAAAGGACGAAAAAGAACAACCCAAAAATAAGGAATCTCGACAAGCCGACAAACTTGATAGCAGGTCCCTATTTTTTCCTCATTTTGCCTCAAACGCACAGGAGCAGTGACAGAATCGACACGCATCTCAACAAAACAAAACGCAGAAGCAACAAAATCAGAGAACTTAAAGGTGAGCAGAAAGAGGTCAATAAGAGTCAAAATCATTCATTACAAAATGAGAATTTACCTTGAGTAAGTCACCGGTCCTTTTGAAGCATTCTGTCAGAGCTCCGTGCGTTCACAGGGATTTCACCAATTCCAAAAGCCCGGGGATAAGTCCAAGGATAAGTCCACAGAAAGCTTTACGGTGACTGTACTTTATTTTTCTTCTGAGACAAATATAGGAATTAAGACTGGGGTAAAGAGGAGGGGTGGGTCAGGAGGAGTTCTGGATGTCCGTTAGTTCCGACTGATGCTCCCGGTGCGTAAAATAGGTTCAGAAAATCCCGAATGTTCACCGACAAGATATGTTTCTTACATTCTTCCAAAATAAAACGTCCTCCGCTCTTCTTTAATGTATGAAGGGAAAGTCCTTTCCACATTAGTTGTTGTGTTATTCCAAATGTTTAGTTTCAGAAGTTATTTTCTCCACATCTTCTTCACGTTTCACTCTTCCAGGAATGTAACGTTTAACGGAGCGGAAAATCAAAGAGGACTCGCGCGCATCTCGGGAACCGCCGTTCCCAGCTCGCGGCTCTGGAGCATCGTTGTGTCCGCGCGCAGCAACAGCCGGATTCCTTATTTGGAAGCCCGGGGCTCGCGCTACTGTCAAGAGAGTCAAGTTAAACCAAAATGACTTCCAGCGAAACCTTTCAAAATAAAAAGCACGAGAGCTGCAACTCTTTCCAAACGCAGCACTTTGAAAGCAGATCTGATATGAAGCACATATTACATCTATGCAAACACATGAACTAGAGATTTGTGTGAAGATGTTTACTTATTTTGATATCAAATTAATTTTAATTTAATTTAAATATAGATGTAATTACTTCTTTTTTAAAACTGTTATTAAACATTACAAAACTGTCCATCCCTCATCCCTGAATATTTAAATAGATGATCTGTATAAGTAGATGATGCAGTCAAAAACACATGTAGTAGTTAAAATAAATCAGTCTAGTGACAATTTTGCTGCAGACCTATATTTAGCGTATATTATTTTCACAGCTAATCATTCTGAAGACAGCTATATGTATTTTAAACATTTCGGTTAGCCTTTTATGAAATATATCAATATAATGTCTTCATTGAGCACCCTTTGTTTCTGTTTCACATCAAAGTCATACTAAAGAGAAAACATAAGACAAAAAAACATTCAGTGTACTAAAACGTCCCCCTTGGGAATGCTTTTATTTTGAAGGCAACATCGCATAATTTCCTGCCAGATTCTGCCTAAACTGTGTTCAAAGCTGAGGGGGTTCCTTAGAAACGCACCCATCAGCCCCCTCTTCTGGAGTCAAACAGCGTCAATTGGATGTTGTGTCAGGTCTGTGGCATCACCTACATTCACTACACAAACAGGAAATGTTAAGATTAAATAGCCTCAACACACATGGTTTACACGGGGTTAGAAAACACGCTGGCCATTCAGTGATGCACCTGTCTGTGTAGCAGACTTATTTCTCTATCATTTCTCAGTGAAACAAAGACATGCAGGGCCGTATCTATAAAGACACCTAAAGGTCATCGCCTTCCGTTTCATGTCTTCAACATACACAATACATATGGCTGGTTCATCACAGCTGATTGATTTACAGTTTTCATATGATTGTTAGTAAAAAAATATGTTATTATATTCTTAATAATGAGATTTACTTAGGACCGTTGTAAAATCTTTTAGGGGAGATTCCATTAAAATACAATATATAATAAATTATTTGGTTTGCTTGTCGAAATTATTTACTTACTGATGTGATTACCACATTTATTTTGGTCATCAGGTGGAGCTGCAGGGATTTGAACCTTGGACCAGTGTTACTAAGACCCTGGCTACATATGGCTAAGGCCCCTTGGGCAAATGAGACTCCGTGGCCTCTCCAGCTTGTGAATTGTGTACATCCAGTTGTGTTTAACTATGCAGACATATAGCAGCTTTATCTCCTAGACCCAGATATTACTGGCAGTGTGAACATGAAGGAATCTCATAATAAAAATGGAAGGAAGTCTGTATGTCCTTTTAATTTTCACACAAAACATTCCTCTGATCATTTCCACCTTGCGTGTGAATTGAAAGAAGAGCTGCGTGGAGTTTGAGTTTTTTTTGTGCACCTATCGAAGCCCACCAATAGACCTGTTCCTACTGGCGTGTTTTAAACAGGCTATATTATTTTACTAAATGTTAAATATGAAAAGGGACTAAAAACCACATTTTGCTTTTGCTCTATAGCCGGAAACATTTTTGGTGCTTGAAACGAACCGGATTCCGGTTCCAGCTCCGCTGCGGTGGAGCTGTTTGTTCCACAACAAGCTGTGGAGGAGAGTTCTCTCCTCTCAGACTGAGGGGCTCAGGTGAGCTAAAGAACTCTCTGAGTGTTTAGATAGTTCACTTTAGTCTTGCATTCACCCACCTAATAGTCCGTTTTCTGGTGCGCACCAGACCACAGTTTGTTACATTGTTTCATTCTTCAGAAGATTCGGTTTGCGTTCACACGGGCAAAACTCAAACGGACTATAAACTTTAAACACAAGTCATGTGGCACGGAAATGTTGTTCAACCATTGGACAGACATGAAGGGGGTAAAAACGCAAATCCCGGCAATTTCTACCGGAGCCTCCGCCCATGAGCATCGGCACTTTCGGCAGGTTATTCTCATGCTGCTGTTAATCTGGAGATCAACAGACACTAGCGGCCGCGCATATAGATTATATAATCAAGACAACGTCCGTTTAAAAACACATATAACATAATGAGAGACGTTCTGCAGTAAGGAGGGCGTTTCACCGACGACAGGGTTTTTTTCCTTTACCGACACTGTTCAACACTTCATTCTGCTTCACTCTTTAACTAAACAACCGCGGATGTCTTGAAAGACTCTTTCGCTAAAGATTTGGAAAGATATCCGCGTTCTTGTGACACGTAAATATACGCTCCTCTATTTTGGTGCGGACTGCGTTCACACCAGCAATGAACCGCTCCAGAGTTCACTAGCAAGCGTTCCGAGACCACCTATTTTAGCGGACCAGAGTCCGGTTGTTTAGTTCACTTAAGAGGACTGTGTTCACACCGACCCAAACTGAACCGCACCAAGCGGCCTAAAAGCGCACCAGGGTTAGATTCAAACCGGACTATACAAGGCAGTGTGAATGCGCCGTTATCTCAGTGGGTCTCAAACGGTTTTGGTCACAAATGATTCAAAAGAACTATTTCCGCGGCACACACCTTCATATGATATATGGCCAGTAAAACAAGAATACCGTTTGAAAGGGGTAGTGATTTGTAAAGTATCCATAAAGATAAAGAAAATCTGTTTACAGTTCTGTTTCATATGGGGTGATGTAATCCATAGGATCTCATAATGTTGCGTCTCAAAGTGCACCAGTATTGATGCTTTTAGCTTCAATATTAAAAAAAATAGAGGAGGTGAGGTCCGGCCCCCACTCATGAAAATAGCACTTTACCCCTGCCTATATGCCGTGAGCTGATTATCGAGCCTTCATTATAACAGTCGCGGGTGTAGCCTACTGTGGTGTGCTTGTGGGGAGTGTTGCAGTAGAAAAAAAAAAACCGCCGCCACTGTGGGCTAAGCCCAGAATGTTTTCAGGTCCAGAGCGACGCCCCTGGCCTGGCAACCTAACCTGCTCCGGAGCAGGGGGGTATACTACGAATCTAGTTCAACATATCCTGGAGGTTAGCCGTTCAGCATAAGTTACCATGGAGATCTAGCCCGGTAAGAAGTGAACCAGCGTCGTAGGACCGGAAACCCAGAGTGTTCCCTGAAGTTAGCTCGTTATTGCGAAAATCCGGCTTCGTAGTACAGGCCTCTGTTCAAAAGTGTCTAATCCAGGGTAGGATTTTCACGGCGGCCATGACGGCCATGGTCTCTGAACTGCATTATGCTGCGTTCACAACGGACGCGATGCGAATATTCGCATTGCTCTAATCGCTGGAGTTTCAATGCGGCTGTCAGCTGTGTTTACTCCTGTCATTCAAACAGGATGTGCTGGAGAGGGGGCGGGGCTTATCTCCATGTAAATACTGTGGTAGACTACAACAAAATTAAAATATTTTACCGTGATTTAATTGTAATACACGTTTCAAAATGAGGCCAAAGGAACAAAATACTGATAATGGTTAGTAAAAAACATGAATGAATGCTTATAACAAGTGTCCAAACCTTTTAAAATGCGTGTTTTCTGAATGGAGATCGGATTGATCAGGCTAAATTAACCTGTATATGCTTCGTCCACACTCACAATACAATGATACAGACACAGACACAACAGCGACAGTATTCACCATGACACAGACAGTCTGTGGTTTGTTCATGTTTAACTTTTGTCCAGTTTCTGAACAGATACTGTATGAGGAGGCTGTGAGCTCTGAGTGCTAACAGCTAACGGCTGCTGTTTTCGTTTTCTGATTCAACGTCAGTGGCTGAGATCCTCACTGCTGATTGGCTACCGTGAGAACGCGTCACGCGAATTTGAGGGCTCGAGTTGAAAATTGTTATTAAGAGACTCTCGTACACGCCAACACACCCGCACAACACACACACACACACACACACACACACACACACACACACACACACACACACACACACACACACACACACACACACACACACTTGTGAATGGGAGAAGTATTAGATAGAAAACATACCAAACACTAATTATTCAAAGTAGAGTATTTTATTGTATATAGGCTACGGTAATACTAAGAAGGCATAGGCCTGTATGATTATAATGTTTGACATTATTGATATTAAAAAAGTGATTTTGTTTCCATGTAATTCGTGTGTTTTTCTTATCAGAAAGTGAAGTTATTTATATGTAAGCTCCAAATCCAAATGTTTTCGTCGGTGGCCTTTGTGCCCTAAAAAAAATGGTGACACCAAAGGCCAAACGGCCTTGCCCCTAAAAATGACAACATTCCAAGCCTGGTCTGATCACTCCTCCCCTCTTCCTTTTTAAACTGCTCTGGTTGATCATTTGCATAGTGTACATAAGGAACCATTTAGTTTGGAAATGATCCTGTTTGAAATTAGATAATTGTAGACATACTATGTTATAAAGATAGAGTATTGCTGCTTCTGTTGAGTTCTATCACTTAATCCAAACAGATGATGCCCATGAGTTAATATTTTCTCCACCAGAAGTTCATTTGACTGGTAAGCGTTATTTAGACCGCTCTAAAGCCATTATGTCATGTTGGAATAAATGGAGTGTAAATAATGTGCAGCCATTTGAATCTCACCCTGAACAGAAGTGTGTTTACCGATGTAACAGACAGTCAGTATTACATCATGACTGCCATGTGGCCAGGAGGTGTGAAGGGGAAAGCACATCAGCCTGCTCTGCTGTCCAGAAGGAAGAGTTCTGCTCAGTTTCCAAATACGTTCAGGTTAAAAATTAGGAAATCTGTTTTCTGTAGATAAACATTTATTTAAAGGATTTGGGGAATGGGTCCAACCTCTAACAGGCTAGATCACATCATTACGGACCTTTACAGCAGACATGACTTGAAGAGGTGCAATTACTGTATGCTTTTTT